CGGATAGCGCGGCCACGGCCGGCCATTGCCGGCCGTCCGGCAACAACTCCTGAACATACTGACCTCAAATGACATAACATGAACACATGAACAGATTTAAACTGAAAACATGAACTTTGCCCAATTAAACAGAACTTGGCCTCGGCGGACGCACCGTGCGCCGCCGGCGGCGTTAAGCCGCTTTCACGACCGAACATCAATTCTTCTCGGCAAATTATACATTACTGATCGTAAAACATGATTTACTAAATAAATAAATATGGTTGTTCGAAAGAATATTCACTTAACAACATGATACTCATGAACGGCCCGTGGCACATGCTACGTGCACGGCCACGCCCTTCGGCCGATACGATGACTGATCTTGACTTTTCTTCGAACAACTCGAACTAACTGAACATGATTTAACATAAATTGATATACCACATGAAGTTGCTCGCGAGATTATGAACTTAAACATAACATGGTCTACTCGAGCTTCACGCACGGCAACACCAAACATGGTTGGAAAATGAACATGAACTCAAGTTACGATTACAACTATACCTAATGATATTAATCATAACAACATGAAGGTTGACTACCTCTTTGCTCGTTTGGTGCTCGCGTGTGCGTGTGTACTCGGCTCTTGCGTGCAGCGTGATGCTCTCGGTGCGGTATGGGGTGCTACTCGCTGTAGCTCGGCGTGCGGTTGCTTGGTACTAAGCTTATAAACACAACTTTCCAATCTAACTTTAATACATATGCTGAACTATGATAAACACATATATGGAGAATAAAATGGGAAATTTTCCATCAAACTCCCCCTTTTATACTAAGATGGCCGAAGGTGAGTGTTTGGAGGTTAATCCTCCTTAAGACACTTGTAGCAACACTAAGCTACATTTAGGTGACTAAGCACCATAGTAATCCTCATAATGCCACGTTTAAGGTCTTAGAAATGAAGGAAAATTGGACACAATCCCACTAACAATTCCCACTTAACGTACGACCTATTGGAAAAAAAAATGGAATTTCCGTACGGTTTATATATATATATATATATATATATATATATATATATAATCTTGTGATTAATTGATAATTAACCACTTAATTATGTTTAATTATTCAATTAAACATAATGCTTAATTACCAAAATTATTCCGAACGTAAACGGTACGTCGAAAATAATTTCCGATAATTTCGACTGAACTGACTGAAAATAATTAATTCCGAAAATTAATATCGGAACTAAAAACATAATTTATACTGATAAACTGATGGGATATTACAATCCTCCCTCCTTACAAAATTTCCGTCCTCGGAAATTCAAAACATGGCTGAATATATACATGAACTATGTACATAGGATAAGAAAATATGTACATCAAAACTGAAAATCTGGAAAACGAGCGCGAATATCGGAATCCGCCTCCCAAGTAGCTCCGTGGCGATCCCACTGAATACGCACGAGGGGAACATCTCGCTTCCGGAGCCGACGAACCTGACGGTCTAGTACAGCTACCGGTCGCTCCTCATACGAAAGATCTGGTTGAACTTGAATATCTGAATGAGGAATGACATGATCAGGGTCGCACACGTACTTACGCAACAT